CAGAGGTGATAAGGTGATGTTGAAATTTCCAACTACTATTGTATTGCTAGCAATTTCCTCCTTAAAATCTGTTAGCAGTTGTTTTAAGTATTTAGCTGGTCCCTCATTAGGTGCGTATACATTTAAGAGAGTGATTTCTTCCTGTTGTACGTATCCCTTGATAAATAGAAAATGGCCTTCGCTGTCCCTTCTAATCTTTTTCAATCTGAAATTTATGTTTTCGGATACTAGTATGGCCACCCCAGCTTTTTTGAGGGAGCTGTTTGCTTGCAGGATTGTTTTCCATCCTTTCACTTTGAGTCTGTGTTTGCTCTGACTGTTCAGATGAGTTTCTTGTAGGCAGCAGAATGTTGGTTTCAGTTTCTGGATCTGTTTTGCCACTCTGTGTCTCTTGATTGGTGCATTTAGACCATTGACATTCAGAGAGATTATTGTCATGGGGTTTTGTGCCATCTTTCTGGTAGGGTTTATTGTTCTTATGGGTGTTTTCCTTCTTGAATTACAGAAGCCCTTTTAGTCCTTCTATTAGGTTTGGTTTTGAGTCTATGAAGTTCCTGAGTTGTTTATCTATAAAATGGTGTATCATTGCATCGAGTTTGAGTGAGAGTTTAGCTGGATAAAGTATTCTTGGTGAGGCTTTCATTTCATTGAGTTTTTTCACTATATCCCACCATTGTCTTCGGGCTTGGAGAGTTTCCTCTCATAGGTCTGCTGTAAATCTAAGGGATGCTCCTTTGTATGTGATTTCCTTCTTTGACCTTGCTGCTTGCAGTATTGTGTCTCTATCCACGGCATCCATCATTCGGACTATGATATGCCTTGGATTGTTTTTATAAGGGTCTCTTTTAGCTCGCACTCTTCTGGCTCCTTGGATCTGGATGTCTGTATTCTTTAACTCTGGGAACTTTTCAGCAATGATTTCTTTCACTGTGGCTTTTTCATTGGGACTGTTTCCCTATCTTCTGGTACTTCGATGATTCTAATGTTGTTCCTCTTGGCATCATACCCTAGTTCTCTGATTCACCTTAGAGCTATTTTGAGGTCTTTTCCTATTGTTTGTTGTTGCCTATATGATTTTTGTTGCTCGTCTTAAAGCTCACTGATCCTATCCTCAGCCGCAGTCATTCTATTGCCGAAGGTACCCGTTGAGTTTTTAATTTCATCTATGGAATCCTTTTTGTGACACTTTTTGTAGCTTTTTTATTTCTGCTCTCATTTCTTCCTGTATTTTCTCGACTATCCATTCCACTGTTTCTTTCATTTCTTCCTTTAATTTTCTGGATGTCTGCTCCATTGATTCTTTGAGTCATTTCCTTGAACATCCTCAGCATTTCATCTCGGAATTCTTTATCAGAGAGAACATATTTGTGGATAACCCCTGTTGAGGATTCAGGACACTTTTCTTCATCCTCTCCTGATAGTGGAGATTTGCACTGTTTCTTCATGCTGTTGTGGTTGTCTAGGGGTAAAACTTTTTTTATTCACTAGCACTTTTCCCTCTTGTCATTGGAAAGGATTCTGGATAAGGTTGGTAGATGGTGATCACCCTTCTCCCCTTATAGAATCTGTCCTTCCTCTCAGGCATTATTCTGTGGCTTATGTCAGGCATCTAGTGAAGCGTTGGAGGAGGTGCTCTTTTATATTGGGTTTGTAAAGCTTCTTGCATACTGGTCTTTTGTTGGAATTGGAGTAGTCTAGTGGATTATTGTCGTATTGTGGTTGAGGCGGCCAGGACTTTTTCCACAGAATTAGGTGATAAAGGCTGGGATGTGCGTGGATCGTGGTGGGAGTGGGAAATATAACTGTGGCCACCTGAGTGGCCGCCCACCACACAGAGGGCCATGCCCACTTTTGAGGAGGCCATGCCCCCTACGTGGAGGTCATACCCCCAGCCAGTCCCAGGGATGTGCTGACCTAGGAACCTGCAGAGGAGGTGGTCTGGGGGAACTCCAGCAGGTGTTCCCCAAAGTCTCCGCCAGCTGCCCAGAGGTGGGTGTGTGGTGCAGGGGAAGGGGTGCGCACGGGGGAAGGGGCACGAGCGTGGGGTGTGGGACAGGGATACGCTCCCCAGCTCCCGATGAATCTGCAGAGGAGGGCTCCTTGATTTCTTTCTCTTCTTATTACTTGTGTATAGAAATGCAACTGATTAAAAAAAAATTTAACTTCGAATTTGTTGCAGAATATATCATGGCATTTATCACAAAATTATGTTACAATACAGTGCATACATTTTTATTTTTTTAATTAACTTTTCTACAGACTTACAAACTTCTGTGATTACGTTTCAGTCATACAATGTTCAAATACCCATCCCTCCATCAGTGCCCATTCTCCACTACCAATGTTCCCATTATCCCTTCTGCCACCCCCACCCCTTCCCATGATAATATTATATTATCATGGGAATATGATATCATCTGCAAAAAGCAGATAATATTAAATATTTCATCTATAAAGTGAATGACCTATCATTACTCTTATTTATGTTGTCAGTAATTTAACACATCAATTTTTTTCAAGCAGGCACCAGTAATGTCTCCATTGTGAGACTTGTTACTGTTTTTGCTATATCGAATACGTCACGGGGAGTTTGCCAGGCTCTGCCGTGTGGGTGGGATACTCTCGGTAACTTGCCGGGCTCTCCGAGAGGGATGGAAGAATCAACCCGGGTCGGCCGCATGCAAGGCAAACACCCTACCTGCTATGCTATTGCTCCAGCCCAATTTTATATGTAAAGTTTTTTTGTTTGTTTGTTTTGCTTTTTCTTGGTGGTTGGGGCACAACCACATGGCAGTGGTTGGGGCTTACCTCCACTTTGTGCTCAGGGATCATTCCTGGCAATACTCAGTGGGCCATATGCAATATGTGGAACCTGAATCAGCTTCATGCAAGGCAAGCACCTTACCTGTTGTATTATTACTCCAGTTGCTTCTAAAGTGTTTTCGCACTGTTATTGTTACTTCTCCAAAAACTTTACTTGTGAGTTTTTAATTTGTACAGTTTTATAATATTTTCTTATCTATCTTACTTTTTAACAATTTCAGATCTGTAGGATCATATAATGAGTAGTATAACCTGTCAGAGCAACAGTTGATAATCTTTTACTTGTTCCCTTCCTTTGCATACAAACATAAACCAGATTTTTATTTACTAACTTAAGAGAAAGTTCTAGGGGGCTGGAGTGATAGTACAGCAGGGGTGTACCTGCTTTGCCTTGCATGTGGCCTACCCAGGTTCAATCCCCAGCATCCCATATAGTCCCTGAGCACTTCCAGGAGTAATTTCTGAGTGCAGAGCCAGGAGTAACCCCTGAGCATGACTCAAAACCCCTGGGTGTGACTCAAAACAAACAAACAAAAACCCCCAAAAATTTTAAAAAAAGAGAGAGAAAAAGTTTTAGGTTTTAATCACCATTTGTCTCCCAAACACTTCAATATTTAGTCCTCAACGAAAGATATTATACAAAACCTTATAAAAATAATTTATAAGGCATTTGGTATTTAACCGTATCAACACATTTATAGTTTTACTTAGCATATAACGTGTTGAATGGGATTTTTAAAATATTGCCTTTTATGGTGGGAAATGGGCACTGATGGAGGGATGGGTATTTGAAACCCAAGCACAAAATTTGTCAGTCTACAACTGTACCTCGTGGTGTCTCACTAATAAAAAAAAAATAAACATTTAAAAAAATATATAATAAAATAAAATATTGCCTTTTAAAGTGATTATAAATGATTATGAACTTGATTTCATATTATACATAGGACAACAAATCCATCCATATTGGTTCTAATATTTCAGCTGCAGATTTTCTTGGTAGCAATAAATTCTTACTCAATGTAATTTATGGTGCAGAGGCCTTGGACCACACCTGCAAGTGCTTGAGGCCTGCTCTCAGCTCTGTGTTCAGGGGTTGTGTCTGATGGTTCTACTTGTGGGACCATTCTTGGGATTGAACCTGGGTTTCCATCTAATCATGCATTGCAGGTACCAGACCGTTGAACCTGCAGTAATTTTATTTTATTTACTTATTTATTTTTTAAGAAGTTTTATTGTATTACTGTGAGATAGTTACAAACTTGAAGTGATTGCGTTTCAGCCAAATAACGCTTGAGCAACCATCCCTCCACCAGTGCTCATTTCCCACCACCTTTGTTCCCAGTATCCCACCTGTCACCCCCACCCTACCCCACTCCCTGCCTCTGTCACAGGTACAATCTTCCTTACGCTCTCTCTGATTTTGGGCATTATGATTTTTTATACAAATACTAAGAGGTCATCGTGTTTGGTCCTTGGTCTACTTTCCGCACACATCTCCCATCCCATGCTATTCCTCCAGTCATCGTTTACTTAGTGGTTCCTTCTCCATCCCAACTGCCTTTCCCCCCAGCACGTGGGGTGAGCTTCCAAACCATGGTATGATCCTTCTGGCCCTTATCTCTATTGGTGTTAGTCTCCTTAGGTGTTAGTCTCATATTATGCTACTTTGTATTCCACAGGTGAGTGCAGTCACTCTATGTCTGTCCTTCTCTTTCTGACTCATTTCACGTAGCATGATACTCTCCATGTCCATCCACTTATAAGAGCCTGAAATAATTTTAAGCTATTATTTTCCCCCTTTCTTTGTAGATAATCAAGTGTACTATAAGTAATACTTTCATTTTCCCATGTCCTTTTTAAAAAAAGTTTTCTTTGGTCACTTCTAGTGGTACTCAGAGCTTACTCCTGCCTCTGCACTCAAGGATCATTCCTTGTGGGACCTTGGGGAACTGTATAGGGTACCAGGGATTAAATCCTGGTTGACCATGTACAAGGCAGGTGCCTTACCTGCTGTATTATCTCTCCAGCCTAAATGGAATTTTTGAAAAATGATTCCTCCAACTAAATATTTGGACTAAAGTATCTGGATTAGTTTGTTTGAAATATACATATATTTTAAAGTGTGTATCTTAGAAAAAATATATGAAAGTAAAATATAAATTTTTACATTTCAGGAGAATTCTCGAATTGTAAGGGTGAAAGTTATAGCTGGAATAGGACTTGCCAAGAAGGATATCTTGGGATCTAGGTAAGTGAATTAAGTTGAGCTGTAATTTTAAAACATTTTACTTTGTGTTCCCCTGAACTATGGCTAGATGGGAAATGGGATATTACTTTTTTTTTTTTGCTTTTTGGTCACACCCAGCGATGCTCAGGGGTTACTCCTGGCTCTGCACTCAGGAATTACTCCTGGCGGTGCTCAGGAGACCATATGGGATGCTGGGAATTGAATCCGGGTTGGCCGTGTGCAAGGCAAATGTCCTACCTGCTGTGCTATTGGTCCAGCCCCTGGAATATTGCTATTAATAAATTGTTGTACAAGGTAGAATAATGTTTCAAAATGGTTACAGTTCCAGTTAAGTTTGTGAGATTAATTTAGTATTTTGCTTGCTTTGTTTTATCAATGCAAAAGATACACCTTAGAGTAGTAGTTAGAAGGTCTTATGGGGGTGTGGCCAGAGCTATAGTACAGTGGGTAGAGCACTTGCATTGCACAGCTGGCCGTGGTTCAATCCCCAACACTTCTTATGGTCACCTGGAACAGTGCCTGAAGTCAGGGTAGAGAAACAAAGCAGCAAACCCCAGCCGGGGTTCATGTTTGGACATGGAGTTTCACCCACTGAGGTTTTTGATTTCTTGAAATTAGTCTGAGGCTAGGTGGAAACCTGGGGAAATTATAATTTTTCATGGTCAGGGACATTTAGAAGGGAGCCTGGCAATCATGGGAATTGGGAAAGGGAAAGAACAAGAGAGTAATTCCTACTCTGACATCTCTTCCTGCCCTGCAGAACACACACACACACACACACACACACACACACACACACACACACACCAGATAAAAGTAAAAGATGTAAACAGATCAGAGTTGCTGCTCAACAAACAGTTTTGTGGGTTTTATCCAAACAAAATAATTGGTTGCATTGATAAAACAAAGCAAGCAAAATACTAAAATAAGAGAAAAACTCAAGTTTTCCATGGAAACTGAGGAGGTTCGGGGAGGCTGGGAGGGCACAGGGATTGGAGGGTGATGGAGGGATTTGGAAACACTGGTGCAGGTATTGTTGTAGTACCTCTGCAGCTGTAAAATAGTGACTTTGTTTATATTGGAAATGATGAAAAAGCAAAAGAAATATATTGCTTAATAAAATTAAATGAAATAAATGGGATTATTTATTTATTATTTATGGGATAATTAAAAAAATTAAAAGTATTAGTCTGGTAAAAATAAAAAATGAAAAGTTAGAGTTTCTATAACTGAATGAACCTTTATACTGTCCAGAGTATAGTCGAAAATTATATAACCATTAAAGAACCAGGAAAACGGAACAAAATCTCAGATAAATCAAAAAGTTGGAAACCTCAGGGATAAAATAAAAACCATATATAATGAAAACTCAAACCAAAAAATTCAATATTTGAGATTTGAATTCTTCGATAAATCAAAGGTGGAATAAAGATAAAGAAGAAAAATAAATTGAACTTTAAGATAGAGCAATAGAAACTGTTTTCTAACTGGAAGGTGAAACAAAACTTGAAAAAAAGTGAAGAGTGCCTTGGGAAATTGTTAGAAGATAGTAAGTTATCTAACAGACATGTAATCCTGGTAAACATCTTAATATTTGCTAAACTTGATAAAATCCCTTTGTTCAATTGAAGACATGGTGCGGTGGAGTAGGGAAAGGGGTCATCTCCCTATGGACGGGCACACTGACTAGTGCTACGTCTATTCTTCTTTGTCCCTCTACCAGTAGGACTTGCAGGACCCCTTGAAGACAGGCTACAGATTAAAATACACTGTTCTCCCTTGCTCTGTTGCTCCTGAGGATGACTTTCACAGGTCCTAGGGTACTCATGTCCACTTACTACTTCCCTGGCAGGGTTTTCAGACCACTACCCACACTGTCTGTCATTTCCCATCTCCTCTGGCATCTACCACTTCAACCACCACCACCCCCTGCAGCCACATGTGCACTGAATCTGTTTCATTCCCATCCTTCATGAACTGGGAGAGACAGCTCTTGTGCCTGCCGGAGAGATAAGCATGAGTCAGGCAAGATAAAGAAAGAGTGTACCGTGCCCCTGGTGACTGAGTAGGATGAACCCTGGGGGCGGGGCACCTAATAAACAGAAATTTTTAAATTGTCTGATGAAGATTTCATCAGATAATGGATGAAAGATACTGATGAAAGAATGGATAGTATGATACTCACTGAACTTGGGAGGATGGATGAATGAAACATGAACAGCAAAGACAGAAAGTATGTGTTCAGGACAGAAAGTTCCAGAACTGAAGAACACCAACATTGAACCAATAGATGGGCTCAACAGTAGGTTAGCTAAAGCAGAAAAAAAAATCAGTAGGCCAGAAGCTGGAATACCAGAAAACACTGAAATAGCAGCAAAAAAGGAAAAATGTATATTTTAAAAAATTGAATAGCCATGAGATGATCATTAAAAAGCTGTTTATGATTGGTTCTCAGGCATACAATGATCTAACACCCATCCCTCCACCAGTGTACATTTCCCACCACCAGTGTTCCCCATTTTTCTCCCATCACCCCTCAACACCCCTTCTATCCCAGCCTCCCTCCATCGTAGGCGCACACTTTCTCTCTCTCTCTCTCTCTCTCTCTCTCTCTCTCTCTCTCTCTCTCTCTCTCTCTCTCTCCTTTTCCTTTTGTGCATTATGGTTTGCAATACTGGTACTAAGAGGTCATCATGTTTATTTAGGGCATTCAGTATTTTTGGGGGGGATGGTACGGTAAGGCTGGAGTAGCTTTTTAACTGGATGGCAGCTTTGGGCTGCGGATGTGACTGCTGAGGCTTCTGTAAGTACAGGGAGGTTGCAGGGAGCGGTAACCCATCCCAACCCCGAGAAAGTCTGGAGATTTCAGTCACAAAACTCACAAACCAGAATTTTCAGCAGATTATATATCCGTGAGGTCTGTCCCAAGACAGTGGAGTCAGGCCGGGACTTGTCAGTGCTTTTGGATTGTGGGAGCAAATGACTGCCAGGGGCTCTGCTCAGAGCGTACCAGACTGACCCTCCCCACTCCGATTTACCCCAGTCTATTCAGCCTGTGCAGGTCCGAGATTAACTGCGGTTTTGGGGCAGTAGTAGAGTTTACATGGTGGCGCTGGAGTTGATTTGTGGGGGTGACTGCCAGTGCTTCCAGGAGTATAGGAAGCGGAGAGAGGTAGCCTTTTCCAACTCCAAGAAAGCCTGGAGAGCTCAGTCACGAAACCCACATATCCAAATTTTTCAGCAGGTTCATATCTCTGTGAGGTCTGTCCTGAGATAGTGGAATCCTGCAGGGGACATGATGACTACTTTGGATTATGGAAGACAGTACCTGCCATGGGGCTCTGCTTGGGTGAAGCCAGGCTAACCTGTCCCCTTCTGATTTACCCTGGTCTGTTAAGCCTTGCACAGGTCCGAGATTAAAAGGTAAAAGGTAAAGGCCCTCCCGTTGATCGTCGATTTGCTCGAGCGGGCCCAGTAACGTCTCCATTGGAGACTTTGTTGTTACTGTGTCTGGCATATCGAATACGTCATGGGGAGCTTGCCAGGCCCTGCCTTGCGGGCGAGATACTCTCGGTAGCTTGCGGGGCTCTCCGAGAGGGGCAGAGGAATCAAACTCGGGTCGACCATGTTGGCTGCTTGTAAGGCAAACGCCCTACCCGCTGTGCTATCGCTCCAGCCCAGGTCCGAGATTAGCTGTGACTTTTGATCTCTTTCAATATTTATTTATGGGTCTCTGAAGCAAGGCCGATAAATGAGCTTGTATAGCTGAACTGGAGGTGGTTTGTGGGTGTGGCTCCCACATACCTAACTTTTGACTGTTTAATTTTAGGAAACTTGGTCCTGAGCTGTTGCAGTCCAGTCAGAGGTACAAAGGCCTCTGGGGAAGTTTTGGGGTATTAGGAAGCCTGAAGGTAAAATCAGGCTGCTGATGCACTTCTCTGCAGGTACAGGTTGACCTGCTGGCAGCATCGTACCTTTTAAGGTAAAAATAGGTAAAGGTAAAGGCCCTCCCGTTGATCACCGATTTGCTCGAGCGGGCCCAGTAACGTCTCCATTGGAGACTTTGTTGTTACTGTGTCTGGCATATCGAATACTCTCGGTAGCTTGCCGGGCTCTCCGAGAGGGGCGGAGGGATCGAACTCGGGTCGGCCACGTTGGCTGCGTGCAAGGCAAACGCCCTACCCGCTGTGCTATCGCTCCAGCCCAGCTCTCGGAGAGCCCAGCAAGCTACCGAGAGTATTCGATATGCCAGACACAGTAACAACAAAAAGTCTCCAATGGAGACGTTACTGGGCCCGCTCGAGCAAATCGACATCAATGGGAGGGCCTTTACCTTCGGGCTGGAGTGATAGCACAGCGGGTAGGGCGTTCGCCTTACAAGCGGCCAACATGGCCGACCCGAGTTCGATTCCTCCACCCCTCTCGGAGAGCCCGGCAAGCTACCGAGAGTATTCGATATGCCAGACACAGTAACAACAAAGTCTCCAATGGAGACGTTACTGGGCCCGCTCAAGCAAATCGTACCTTTTAGGAAAAACAATTTAAAAGAAAAGCTAGGGCTGGAGCGATAGTGCAGTGGCTAAGGCACTTGTCATGTACATGGTCAACTCAGGTTTGATCTCTGATACCTGATGAGCACGACTGGTGTGCCCCCTCCCCCCCCCCCCCAAAAAAAAGCCCAGAAAACTCAAACAAAAAATAAAGAACAACCAAAAAATACAGCATAAGAAACACAAAGAATAGCATAATACAGGAGGAAGTAAAGGACAGCAATTGATTTGAAGAAAATATGGTGGTATAATTCCTGAAAATGCGTTCACATTGAGGAAACTCAAAAAATTCTGAACAAGATGAATTCCCAAAATTCACACGCAGGTACTTTATAATTAGAACGACAAAACTTCAAAACAGGGACTATGAAAAGCAACAAGCAGAAACATGATGTGTGATATCCGAGAGAACTCTCATTCGACTGTGAGCAGGTTTCTCAACAGAACTTTTATTGGCTAGGAGGGACCGGCAGAGGGGAGTGTCAATATTGGAGGAAATGTACTTTCAGTGAATGAAACTACTCAGCAAGGTTGGCATTCAGAATGGAAGAGAGAGTCAGAGACCTAGTACAGTGGGTAGGGTGCTTGCCTTCCATGTGACCCACCCTGTGTGGTTCCACACTGACACCACATATAGGTGATTCCTGAGCACAGAGCCAGGAGTAAACCCTGAGACCACTGGGTGTGTTCCCGCCCCCAGTATATCAGGGTGGCCCTGACAGCACCATATTACTGGCCTGAGCACTGAACTCTCAGACCCATTGAGCCAGGCCAAGCATGAGAGTGGTTCAGCGGTCCCCTCAGTACTGCTTGAGAGAACTTACCCCTGCAAAAGAAAATAACAGAAAAGAAAAAGGCAAATAGTATCCATTTACAATAGCAAAGATACATGTACACACAAAAACGTTTCTTGGTTATCAGATAAAGGGTTACTCTCCAAGATTTATATGGCACATGTACAGTTTGGCAGAGTCTCCTGCCCCCGCGCCTGGCTTTCCTTGCTGGGGCCCCTTGGAGGGAAGTGGGTTTGAGTTACCCTCCCCGCCCTGACCAGGGCTCCAGCAGCCGAAGACCTCCAGAACCAGCCATCACCATGCTGAGACCACTCACTGCACACATGAAGATACCAGCAGAGGACCAAAGGCATGCGGGTCCTGGGACTGAGATCTCCAAGTCTACTCGGATCGGGGCTGAGCATCCTCCACCCAGATCCTCCAAATTCCAGTAGGCGGGGGTCACACCCACCAACTGGCCCCCTGACGCCATGTAATCCCATCAACGGCCAAGACTCAGAGACTATAAAACCCAGCTCCCAGAAGCGTGCTGCCGCATTTGCAGTCCTGCGACATCTTATTATCTCATTCCTACTTTGGACAAACTGGCAGGCTATCGATTGTAACCTGCCCACACGGCAGAGTCTGGCAAACTCCCCGTGGCGTACCAAATATGCCAAATACCAGTAACAATGATGGGTCTCATTCTCCTAAGTCTAAAAGAGCCTTGAATACGGCACTTTTCTAAAAATCTCAGGGTTAGGACGAAGGAGACGTTACTGGGGCCTGCTCGAGGCAATTGATGAATAACAGGATGGTCGTGATCGTGATGTACAGTTTAACAATAAAAATATCCAATAATCCCAACCAAGAGTAGGGTAGGAGATGAACAGACATTTCCCAAACAAGACATGTGGATGACTATTAGGCAAGTTAAAATGTGCTCATTGTCATTTACGATCAGGGAAAAGTAAATCAAAACAGTGCAAATAGCATCTCATACTCATGAGAATGGCATTTATCAAAAAGTCTGGAGAAAAATAAGTATTGGTGGGGATATGAGAAAGGAACCCTCTCATTCACTATTGGGGCAGAGTTGTCTTGTTCAAGTTCTACGTAAAACAATATAGAAGTTTCTCAAAACAATAAGACTAGAACTCCCATACAAACAAGTGATAATTCTTTATAATAGCGACTCCCAAAACAGTTCAGAAAGAAATATGCACACCTTTGTTCGTGGCAGCTCATAGTACAATGACCAAGATGAGGTCAAGAATTTGTGGAATATATAAACAGTGGACTATTCCGCAGTAGAAAAAGATGAAATCATGAAGTTTGCCACTACTTGTGTAGTCCTAGAGGGTATCATGCTCAACGAAGTCAATCAGAAGGAATGGGACAGACACAGACCTGTTTCTCATCTGTGGGATATAAAGAGACCTCGTAAGGGGAGCAGCAAATCACCAAAGGCAACAGAGCTGAAGGGTAGTTCACTGAGTTTACCTTGGGTAGAGAGGGGAAGGGAGAATGACGGGGGTTCTTGGGATATCGATGGAAGAAGTGAACACTCTGGTAGTGGGTGTGGTCTTGGAACAATAGATGCACGAAACTGTCGATAACAGTATTGTGAATCATGAAACCTCAGTAAAATTGAGAGATTAAAAGCAACAAATAAGTTTTAAAAAGAGTCACAAGAACTACATACTAAAATCTATGAAACCTTCACTGTATCACTGTCATTGTCATCCCTTTGTTCTTCAATTTACTCAAAGGGGCGCCAGTAATGTCTCTATTCCTCCCAGCCCTGAGATTTTAACAACCTCTTCTTACTCGTCTTTTCCCAATGATTGGAGGCTCTTTCAGGGTCAGGGGAATGAGACCTGTTGTCATTACTGGTTTTGGCATATCGAATATGCTTGCCAGGCTCTGCCCGTGTGGACGGGATACTCTCAGTAGCTTGCCTGGCTCTCCGAGAGGCATACATTTATATATTTCTCTCTATGATTTGTTGCCTACTGTCTGAACCCCATAAAATATGGTGTGGTAATTATGGAAAATGGCTAGAAAGTGTCTTATAATGTGTCATTCCGGAAAGTGGCCTGGAGCGTGGCGGTGGTTGGGTAGTGGAGGTTAGCTGCCAGGACTAGGTCCCTTGGGGTGGGGAGGGCTCTCATCCACCCCCTTCTGGGGCACCCCGAGTGAAAACAGCCTGGTGCAGAGTCCCTATGAAACATTACTGAGGGTAATTGTAAATACAGATCAGTGGATTTTCAAGAATAGCACAGCACAGTCCTCCTGTTGTTCAACTACTGTTTCTGGCATATCGAATATGCCACAGGGAGCTTGCCAGGCTCTTCTGTGTGGGCCAGATACTCTCGGTAGCTTGCCGGACTCTCTGAGAGGGGCGGAGGAATTGAACCCCGGGTCGGTCTCGTGCAAGACACATGCCCTACCCTCTGTGCTATTGCTCTATTTCAAGAATAACAGGTCTGAAGGGAAGAGAAGGAAGTAATTGTAGAGCATTAAGAGTGGGAATTGAGGAAAAGGAGGTGATGAGCTGTGATGCTTCAGAACATGGCACCCAAAGCAGTCTGTTGGAATTCAGCCTTGGCTCTTCTGCTTTCTGCTGCCTGATGTGATCTGTGATGGGTTCTTTTATCTCTGTGTTCAAGTATGGATACTTATGATACCTACCTTACAGGTGGTTGCAAACATTGAATCAGTTAACATGTAAAATACTGAGAACATTGTCCTAAATGGAATGATTGCTATGTAAGGTTAGATGTCGTTGTCATTATTATGGATTATTCTCTTGAAATCTAGTTTGCTGGAAAGGGAGAGTCAATAAGGGTAGGAATTATAAAACATTCATTTGATGTGAAAACTCTACATCAAAGGAAGAACTAAAGGTATAAAAGAGGAAAATGAAAATGACAGAAGTTTCTGGAAGAGGAGGGAAATTGTCTAATAGTGATGAGCCTTATACAGCCTTGAAAAAGGTTAGAATTCCTAAATCACTGAGGTTAGGGATAAGGATGGGTTTTGATAAATGGCAGTATATTGGGAGTGGTCAGATGACTTTAATTTTTGTCAACCAGAGAAAGAGATGAGATTGTACAGAAGAAGAAGGAGGGGTTTCCTGATGGAGTTTGGCATCTACTTGGGGTGCTGGGAAAAAGGAAAATTTTATCATGGACAAGTCAAGTATACAATTTCTTTTGCTATGTAAACTAAATATTGTAAGATTTTTCTTCTTCCTATCTCTTTGTAGAAGGTTGCATAGTACATAATTTGAACTGTAAGAACTTTCATTTTGTAAAGGGTTTGTATCTATGAGATAACTTGAATCAATCTGGAGTCTTACAAAACTAATCTTGAATATCATTGAATATGCAGTCTTGATTTTAAGGTGAAAAAATAGCAATAAAAAAGGAAATAAAAGTTCAAAATCTAAAAAAGATCAGAAATCATTAAATTGTGATTAAAAGGTTATTTCTGATTTTTTTTTTAACTAACATGGTGTCACTTTTAAACAAGACACAAAAATTATAGGTTTTTACTCCTACTAAAGGAACTCTAACTTTTAAGTTTTGTTATAGATATTGTTAACAAGAAAAATTCTGTGATTTTTGCAGTTTAAGTATTTTGAGTTTGAGATAATTAAATTTACTCAATTTTGTTTTATTTTTACAGTGATCCTTATGTGAGAGTGACATTGTATGACCCAATGAATGGAATTTTTACAAGTGTGCAAACGAAAACCATTAAAAAGGTTAGACTTAGCAATATTCAAAAATTTTATGTTTTATCTTATATTACAAAATGTAAAAATATTTATTAAGGTATATTTATTATCTTTCAGACTTTGAATCCAAAATGGAATGAAGAAATATTATTCAGAGTAAGTATGTGTTTATCACATCAAAAAAACAAAACGGTTTTCTTAATATGTTAGTTTTAAGTTCTGTGTGATCATTTAAAATGTATTGTAAGAGAATTTTCTTTTATTGATTATTTGGTTTTAGAGCCACATCCAGCTGTCTTTAGGGCTTGCTTTTGGGCCTGCACTCAGGGACCACTCTTGGCAGCTCTGTGGACCACATGGGATTCTGGGGAATTGAACATGGGTCAGCCATGTGCAAGGAAAGCCCTGAACACTGACCTTACCTGCTGTACTATCTCTCCAGACCCAGTATATTTAAAAATGTTTTTTCAGGACTTGGTAGGGAGCATCCCATTTGGTCCCTTGAGCACCACCAGGGCTAATTCCCAAGTGCATAGCCAGAAGTAACCCCTAGGCACTGCTGGGTGTTGTCCCAAAACAAAATCAAATAAATTTTTAAGTAAAATCTGGATATCTCCATGATGATGAAGTCTTGGAGCCATTTATCTTGTCTGGGAAAACTATAAAATCAGTTCTTAATGAAGATACTTAAAAACTTGTAAACTTAGGATTACCATATACTTATATGGTAATGAAACTTTCAGAGACTATGATTGTCTTATTAAAATTTGGGTGTTTTCCCTTAAAGATGATGTGATTTTTCATGTCTCTTCAGTCACATATTGACTAGATTGGAGTTCCAAGCAAGAGGTAATGATGGCTGTCAATACATGGATAGATACATCTTTTGGTTTGTATTTTGGGCCATACCTGGCGATGCTCAAGGGTTTCCTGCCTCTGCATTCAGGGATCATTTCTGCTGGACTTGGGAGCCATATGAAGTGCCAGGGATTCAAGCAGGGTTTGTCACGTGCAAGGGATGTGTCCTACCTGCTGTACTATCTCTCTGGCCCAGGTACATTTCCTTTAACATGCGTTTTATTCTCATAGATAAAATTTATGCTCCCCCTCGTCCCACCTTGCCTTACAACCAAGGCTAATCAGCAGTTATGTTGCTGAAATTTACCTGAACTATACACAGCTATAAACAACTATAAAAGCTGAGCCAAAATTTTCAGGCACGTTAGCTGTGCCCAGAATCACATAATACCATATTCAAAATATGTCCAAAACAATCAATAATCAGGGACTGGAGAGATAGCACAGAGGGTAGGGCATTTGCCTTGCACGTGGCCGACCCAGGGTCGATTTCCAGCATCGCATATGGTCCCCTGAGCATCGCCAGGAGTAACTCCTGAGTGCAGAGCCAGGAGTAACCCCTGTGCATCGCCAGATGTGACCCAAAAAAAAAGCAAATAAATAAATTCACTGTCATTGTCCTCCCGTTGTTCATCGATTTGCTCGAGCAGTCCCAATAACTTCTCCATTGGAGACTTTGTTGTTACTGTGTTTGGCATATCGAATCCATCACGGGTAGCTTGCCAGGCTCTGCCGTGCGGGCGAGATACTCTCGGTAGCTTGCCGGGCTCTCCGAGAGGGACGGAGGAATCAAACTCGGGTCGGCCATGTTGGCTGCGTGCAAGGCAAACGCCCTACCGCTGTGCTATTGCTCCAGTGCAAATAAATAAATAAATAATAAACAAAAAAGTTATGAATAATTGGGATTAGGGAGATGATCATCAATCAAAGGTATGCCTTGCTCTGAATCTGAGGGAATGGCTCTCCTGAGCACTGCTGAGAGTGGCCCTGAAGGTTCCCAGCACCACTAGGGTGCCCCTGGACTTCCCCCAGTACCAAAGGGCCCATGCTGCCTCACAAACTCAGATCCTTGCGTTGAACTGACCAAGTATCCCTGGGTACTACTTGGGAGCTCCCTCCAACTCTCAATAAAGGAAAAGAAATATGAATGATTGTTAGAAGATAGTTAACAGATGCCAATCCCGAGGTGATCTAGATGGTATAATTATTTGTAATAAAAGCTTTTAGAGCACGTTTCATAATCACTTTAACCCATGAGAGAAGGTAATTGTTTTTGAAAATTATCCCAGGAAAGAAGTAGAAGCTATAAAAAAATGAATGAAATAGAATTAGTAAACTCTATAGTATAATTTCTAAAATTAAAAAAAAAAGTTGCTGGATGAGCTAAATAACAGGAAGGAGAAAACAGTGAGAAGAGTCTGTGAACTTGAAGATGGATTATTTGGAGTGGTCTAATCTTAAGAATGGTAAAATAGGGGGTATGATGCCGCCAGCAGGTCAACCTGTACCTGCAGACAAGTGAGTGCATCAGCAGCCTGATGGTGCTTCAGGCTTCCTGACACCCCAAAATTGCCGCTGTGCCTTTGGCCGTACTCCAACAGCTTGGGGGCCAAGTTTACCAAGAAATTAAACAGCCAAAAGTTAAGTAATGTGAGAGCCACACTCACAAATCACCTCCAGCCCTGCTATCCAAGCTCATTTATTGGCCTTATTTCAGAGACCCATAGATAAATCTCAAAAGAGATCAAAAGCACAGTTAATCTCGGCCCCGTGCATGGCTGAACAGACTGGGGTAAATCAGAAGGGGGTGGGTTGGCCTGTGCCTGCCCACGCTGATCCCCCAGCAGCCGCTTGCTTCCACATTCCAAAATCGCTGTCATACCCCCGGCCTGACTCCTCCATCTCAGGACGGACCTCACCAAGATATAATCTGCTGAAAATTCGGGTATGTGGTTTTTGTGACTGAAATCTGCAAGCTTTCTCAGAGTCGGGGTGGGCTACCTCCTCCCACTTCCCAACATACATAGAAGCACTGGCAGTCACCTCCACGAACTAACTCCAGTACCACCCTGTAAGCTCTACTATTGGCCTTGCTTCGGCAAAAGCCAGAGACACAGCAGAGAGTCCCGGAAGACACCATAGAATCAGAGATCCCTATGGACCCCATGCTGAGCCAGTTTCACCCGGGCATTCTAGATGGAGCAGGTGCAGTCTCCCCACCTATTCCAGATGGAATCCTGGTGACCAAGGACTTCCACAAGCAAGGCCTAGGTATGCGGGTTCCAGGATTAAATCTCCATGCTGCATAGCAGCAGAGGTACCGGGCTATCCCTCCCCAGGTCCCCAACTTCTCATCAGCCTGGCTGTCACACCCACAATGTGCCTCTGGCCACCATCTTAGTGCACCAACAGCCCTGGTCCAGAGACGCCCAGTTGAATCCCAAAATGGATTAGTGCCCTACAGAAATGTCTCTGGAACCCCCAACCATCTATAATCTAGGATTCCAGAAGTACACAGCTGCGATACCCATGATATTCAAAATGAGCAGTGGACAATAAATGAGCGAGCATCTGCCCCTGGCAGGCAGGCTTGAATGGTGATGGGAAAATTTGAGCAAAACATAATGCCCAAAAGTAGAGAGAGAGTGTTGGGGAAATTGCCTGCCATGGAGGCAGGGTGAGAACTGGGAAGGGAGGCAGATATACTGGGGACACTGGTTGTGGAAAGGATGCACTGGTAGAGAGGTAGGGGATATTCTATCATTGTACTGCTGAATCTCAAACATGAAAGCTTTGTAACTGTATCTCACGGTGATTCAAAAAAAAAGGAAAAAAAAGTAATGTGGATTTCATGCCCAATTCAATCAGCTTAATCAATGACTGAAAAAGCAGTACTCCTACATTAAAAAAAAATAATAATAATAATGGCAAAATCACTGTCACTGTCCTCCCGTTGTTCATAAATTTGCTCGAGCGAGCCCAGTAATACCTCCATCGTGGAGATATCCTGGTATGTGGAGAGTCTGCTCTCCACAGAGAGTGGACACAGTTTCCAAGTGTGTAAATACAAAAAGGGGCAGCGGAGCTCCATCTCTCCCACTGCCTATGTTACGTAGTCTCAGGCCGCTTCCCCCACCCTGTGGAGGTTGATGGCAATGGACAGGCGAAGAAGGAAACGAGGGCCAAGTTGGTCTCAATTGCCGTTTATTCCAATCTCATCTCCATTCACTTCTGACTCCCTCTGCTTCTCCCCCAGCCATGTTATTTCATTCTCCTTCTTGATCCCCCCTTCATTCTCCTTCTGCCTCCCTCATTATCCTTCTCCCCCTAGCTCTGGATCCCCCAGCCCTCTATTACTGTCACTGTCACTGTCCTCCCATTGTTCATTGATTTGCTCGAGCGGGCCCAGTAACATTGTGAGACTTGTTACTGTGTTTTGCATATCGAATATGTCACGGGTAGCTTGCCAGGCTTTGCCGTGCAGGCAAGATACTCTCGGTAGCTTGCCTGGCTCTCCAAGAGGGGCGGAGGAATCGAACTCGGGCCGGTCATGTTGGCTGCGTGTAAGGCTAACGCCCTACTGCTGTGTTATCGCTCCAGCCCAGCCCTCTCTTACAGTCTAGTTAAATCCCAAAGCATGAGGTGTTGGGGCTTACACATAGGTATGGTCACAATCAAAAGGGGTAAATTTCTTTCCCTTGGGGAATGTCACTTCTATGACAGATACTCTCTCAGCAGGATGACCCACCCTAGAGCAGAGTCCCCTGGGTGTGTTTCTCCTCTCCTTGTCCAACAAACATAGAAGCATTCATAATATAAATCATTTTTGTATGGACACAGTAAGAGATACTTTAAGCTTAGAATTGCTCTCCTAGTGGCATCTCAATCTCAGACTACAGTGCTCAGACCAGATAGTCTTTTCTATCCCTAGCAGGGTCCTAGTCTCATCATTACATGTGGATCATGGCAGCATTTGTCTATGATAAAGTTCTTAACTTATAGTTAAGAATCGTGGCTCTTTAGCCTGGCCCATTTCAATGCCAGGGTAGCTCACAGCTTGCCCTGGATCCATTCAGTCCCTCATTGGGACCCTGCTTTTGGGGTGCTAGGAACAAAGGGCTTAAGTCAAGGAAGCAGATGCCTGGGAATGAATACTATTAGAAATTAATTAAATCCTAAGTTACAAAAGCATAATATTAACCATCTTTCTGTGTCCATACAAAAGGACATTTTTTTAAAAAGTAAACTGTTCAAAAGATATAAGGAGAGGAGAAGGACAGTATTAGCTTACAATACAA